CTCTGGATATACGCTGGTAACCTAACTCAACTTCTTCATTGATGTTACTGTTACATCATTATACTCACGTACCAATTATAAGACTTAGTTCTGCTGTTAATATTTTTTAGGGATCGAGTTCATCGTACAATTGCTCAGCACACTACTAAGAAATATTGAGGGCACAAATGAACAAACTGAACATTTTATTGTTAATACTTATTTAACTCAACAAAGATGTGGAATCTATCATACTTGTAGCATATGACGATGCATTCATGGTACATTTTTGACAGATTGGCCTGTGTTCATTATACACTTATATTTTATTTGCTGATGATAGCTATGCTTATTAGATTTATGTGTACTACGTTGTGTATTTAATCAGTGACGATGCACTACATAATAACTTTACGGAGATCTTTTGTGTAAAGACAATATCGGGGCATTGTCTGGGGGTGGTATATATGCCAAATGGAATTTTGGAGATCAACAAAGGAAAGTACTTTATACCTGTTAAATAAGCTCGTGGTTATCTAGAATGAGTGGTTGGCGTATGAATTAATAAACAAAGATATATGAACTGGACAAGCGAATAAAAACGAACACAGTTGTCACACATTTTATTACATCTTCATTGGGATGAACGTATGTCTACCTAATGAGTTCCAAATAAGGCAAGACGTATCCTGGATCCCATTGGTATCTAAAATCCAAAACTGTAGTGATAACTGTTAATATTGTATAGATAAACATAACGAATCTCCAGACTACATAACAGACTGAATAGAGAAAGCTAAGTGTTCGGCCACTACTTTATGATAAAGTGGCTGCAGATAACTGGAGAACACCTTCAGCCACATTCCACGGCCGCTCGAACCTAACGACAGTAGACAGAAGTTATATGCCAATCGAAAAGGACAAAAGTTTAGCTCGAATGTTTTCACTTGCTATTTTAGAGCGTCAATTAAACCAATGTATAAAAGTACCTATTTTTTGAGTGGCTGGAAATATTCCAAACCTAGATGGTGATAACCGACACCCGTCAAGGACTGCTTAGACAATATGTAAGATGTCTTCATGAAGTCACTAACTACGGGTCTGATGCATGTTGATAGGTGTGAACTACCTATTCGTGTTTGTAGGAAAACAGTTGAGGAGCAACTGCTCAGAATCACTTGGAGTAGCGGAGATAGGTTTACCACTTATTTATCTCTAGTTTGTATTCGTCATTTTTATTCTGAGGATCCTCCTTTCTAAAACTATATTCACCACGCACAATAATCAGATATTTCTTTTAAAAAACTGATCTCGCTAAACTGCGTAAACAATGGCTGATGATTTATAACAGGTTCACACGTTGCTTACGATTGATTGAACAACACACCCGGAATTCGACAACAAAAGATACCAACCAGTGACTCACCTGCTTTGGGGCGTAGTTCAAAATATTTTTTGATTGACCAATATCAATTAGCTGCTAATGACAAATGAAGGAGATTGTCATTCATGGTTCAATGGTAACGGATCTAGGTTTATTATGGCATAAAGTGATCATTTATCCCTTGATTTGTTAAGTGTATCTTTGTATTTCAATAAGTCTCCAACAACCATGGTCTGAGGTAAAATATTGTTAATGATGACAACCAACCCGGAAGAAACACATAATTTATTAATATATCCTATAAACTCCTGATATTTATTCCTTCACTATGACGAAGAGTTATAGGAATTGTTACTCAAGGTGTTACACAAAGTTGCTCGCTTTTCTTATTTTTTAGCACTACTGGAGACATTCTTTTATAGAATACTATTACGATCTAACTTATCAGGAATCAACCACCCAAGAGATTATTTTACTGTTATGTTATATGTAATATTTGCGTCTGGCGAAGACGCTAAAACCTACCGACCGTCTTAAGCGACAATGCGACCGTATTCGCGATAGATGTCGCACGAAAGCAAAACATTTACTCAGAATGGGTGTGCACCCCCCCAGTAACAATCAATGGAGTAGCCAAGCAGGTCGACTGCTCCACATATTACGGAAATCTCATCAGACCTAGTAAGCCGTTTCCTGGAGAGCTTACTGCACGAATTGAGGAAGTACAGTTACTTTTTAATAACTTGCGTGGTACCAATCTGCGCACTAAAAATCGAGTTTAATGTGTATCCTCAGAATCCTTCTATTTCACCAATTTATACCCTCTGGAATGGCACTCTCGACACCTAACCTTTTCTATTACCATTAACACTGTTACTACCTCCACTACTCCGGGATTTTCCCTGACAATTTCATCTCACTGAGTTAATGGGTTATGGAAAATTAAAGAGGTGTACACATGTCCCATTTACTGCGATGCACTTTATTAACTGACCTTCACTAGCAACCACCTAATATGATAAATAGTTTGAATTAAATCCATATATAATAATTAGGATGAGACTAGATATCATTTCCTCACCCTTAACCATCCATTTGATATTAAAACGGTTCACCATAATCAGATCAGCAAGTTAAGAAATAAACATTTAGATTGGAAAAGAGACTAGTGTCAGGCATACTCCTTACTTATAAGTCTGGCCACACTTTACAATTGCAGTAATAAGGCAAGCTTATTTTGCCAAAAGTAGAGGATACTTGATATACGAGTAAGGATGTTTGTAAAACTTGAGGTTGTTTGTCGAAACAATTCTTCTTAAGGAAACCTTGTATTTCGGGATGCCAATACGTTCGCCTTCATTATAACACGCACTACTACTAGGTATTTCAAAATTATCTGCCTTTTTACATTACGTTGGGAAAAGAGTTAGAACTAAAGACGAATAATCTGTAAATCTAAGAAGTTTTCACAGTAATTTGCTCCAAAAAGTGTTTTGATAAGATCAAGGTAACTTCAAACATGCTCAGCATTTCAACTTTTGGTTAGAATTCTATCTGACATATTATTATTATCGGAGTAGCTGATGACTTAGGTTATTAGTAGGAAGTGCACTGAAACCAAGTTACCGTTATATGGTCTTTTGATTCTTCTGTCACATAAAATTAAGCCGGTATAACATAGTAATGATATTGTAACATCTCTGGGGAGAGTTAGGCATACAGGTTTAGAATCTGAAAGCGGAATTTGTCGACGCATAACGTCTTGAAATAGTATAAAACATGTTGTTTGACATACATTATCATGTAAATATCACTGGAATTTACGCACCATAATTATAAAAAGTAACTACTACACCAAACAAGATGTAATTTACAATAAAGTACACTTACAAAACTGTTTAGACTACTATTTACAATCAATGGATATACATAATGGTATTCATATCACGAATATGATCGACGTCATCTCTAATAAACATTTTGATTATCCAATAAAGGGTTGTTTAACTTTTGTCGCTTTTCTTTTCTTAGTAATGAGACGGAAGGATAAATTCAGCGGATGATTTAAAGCTACCGATTGTCGAGCATACATTATGGAGATGAACAGGTCCCCGGTGTAACATGTGGACTACTAGTATTTGACCACAGATGCCTTAGAATATCGCTCGCATCTGCTGGGATCACCGGGTAAGTGAATAGTGAGGTTAGATACAGGATTTTAGGGAATGATGATAAATCAGTTGATGAGGTTGTGGATCTTCATCAACTGAGATGGTTGGGTCAAGTGTTGAATATGCATGAACACCGATTACCACGACGTGCAATCCTTACTAGTGTCGGAGATGGTTGGAAGAAATTAGGGAGCGGCCAAACTAAAACGTGGCATCAGTCATCGAAGTCACTAACTTCTAGTCTGAGCCATGCTGGTAGATGCAGACTACTTGGTTGGGGTCCGCGTGACTATCGTAACCAATGTTTGGAGACTCTTGGTGACATGGCTCAGAATCGATCACAGTGGCGTCGGTTTATACACTCTTTGTCCCCCCTCTTAAACAATGAGATTAAAATCGCTCCATATCTTTCTTTCTACGAACTAGTTCTTCCTTCCTGTACTATGTCCTTATATGCAATCTTTCTTTGATATATTACCAACACTGAATTAACCACTTCTATGAATCCGGTGTCCATCTTGTTGTGCTAATGAGGTATGGTAACTTGGATCGATGCACATATGTGCCTGGTCCTACGTTGTAGCTGACTGATTGACTCTAACATGTGGGTCGGAGATCCCATAGAACAACTTAACCTTCATTTGTTTATTTCAGCGAAGTTGTTTTACTAAATTCTGTCTATGCATACTCCTATTATGATACACATATATTATTATGCAAATCACTGCATCATTAGTGTATTTAAAGTTGTCTACATGTTCCAACCAATCGGCGGAAAACTGGTCAAGAAAATAGGCACCGATTTTTCATGAAATATGGAAAAACATTGAACAGGGGATAAAAGACATCTTATATATAAGTATACGTGTGTACTAAGAAGGCATATATTTATATCATATATGTAAGGATAACTTCCAATTTTTGTACTGATGAATTATTCAGAACAGCAGTGGTAGTCTTAATCTCTGTGATCTCATTCACCTGATCTTTCTTTAGTCTTGCATAGAATACGCGTGAGACGTATCATCAGGTAGTGGATTAGCATTAACGATAGTAACAATTGATAATAATAGAAGCAACAATAACCATTGTTATAAACAAATACAACGAATATATATAAAAAATTGAGCAAAAAAGGATGATAACGGAAAAGCTACAAGCAAAATATTTTATAAGATGTTGCAAAGCTAAAATTGTTTTTCTTTACAATCAAGTAGTGTTTACACCAAAATCATGAGATAATTATCATCCTATTACAATGTTAACGGCAATAAAAAAATATAAACGTGCAACATATGAAAGCGAGGAGAAAAACACAAATATAATCTGACTTGAGTAAAACAGCTCGACAGTAATTCAGTTGGCGTTTCCTCATGGAATGTTTGATTACACAAGCGAAACAAATAGTTTAATTAACAAATGAATTCTTTTCTACTTACTACACGTATGCCAACCAATTATACGAACTACATGGATTCAAATTGATCAACTCGTTTTTTCGTATTCCCCTCACGTATAGCTCTTAGTGTACGATATTTATCCATACCTTTGCTTACGATATCCTCATAATGAATATCGATCGCTTGCATCTTATTTGGATTTCGAACAGAGCTTAAATCTTGTCGTAATAATTTAAGGCGTGTCGCATGATCCTCATCAGTATCTTGTTTGGACTGACGTAAATCCTCATCAACATTATTGACTGCCTCCAGTTCGCATTCTAAAACACAATCAATAAATTTCATATATACATATACATAGATGCATATAATCATAATGGTACTACTAATTGTTGTAGCAATAGTGGTAGTAGCCATAGGGGCAAACAAATAGATTGAGAGTGGTTCAATGAACTAAATGCAACAGTTATCACTGCGTACACAAGTATAAACTAGTATTTGTAGGGATCAGGAGAAAAATAAACCTTAGGTAACGTAAAGGATATGGTACCGTAAATGGCATGATAAAATGTTTAACTATATTTAATTTGGTTGTAATGAAGACTTTGAATGTAAATAATTCATTTGAAATAATAATTTGTAGGAAGCAGATATATATATATATATATATATATATATATATATATATATATATGACTAGGCGCATGACTTTGTATTTCTTTGACACGAAAGGTTATATGAGATATGAAGCTGACAAGGAATAGGCGCTTTCTGCAGCTACAAACATGATGATTTAATGTATACACGTCCTGTAAGTTAGAAATTACATAGATGGTTAATAATTTTATTTGTTTGCGGTTTGGTAAAGAAAATCTAATGAGTTTGTTAAATAAATGGTTAGAAAGTCCATGGTATTTCAAAAGCTGAGAAATGTACATCACACAATAACCATTTTGTTCCCAATTAATCACTATGGTTAAGAAAAATATTTAAGTGGTACATCGCTAACCGTCAGATTCTTGTTTCTGTTCACTGAAGTGGTCCATTTCTGCTTCATGCATAGCTCGAACGCGAGCCAGTTCAGCCTCAAACTGACGCTTTTCTTCCTCTCGCTCCTGGAGTAGTTGGTTTTGCTCATTAATTTTGGCGTTGATTTCATCACGTTCCTGTGCTATACGCTGACGCTCTTCTATTGACTTAAAGCAGTCGAACCACGGTTTATGAAAAACAAGACAAAAAAATCGTCGTTTACCATGGATTGTTATTAGTACAGCACGATGATCAAGTATAGCTACTTATAACTGGAATTATCATAGGAAGACTAGAAATGCTATTGACCTAATTTAAAGTGTAGTTCTTAAACTACTAAACTAGAGCAGTAACCGGTGAATTTAGCTGTTGTACGGTCTTCAAAAGAATAGGATTCACACTTAACAATAGCCTCTGCTTACCATGAAAAGTAGGTAATTACCTTTACCTGGAGAGGCTATGGGACTCCGTAGGTTGATTTTCATCAATGAGGAATAAAAAGTCAACTTTAAACTAGGGGGAACTCGTGTAGTTTCACATTTCAGTTCAAAGATGTCTTTAAGGACAAGGACGAGTAACGTTGATATAACTTCAAACAAAGTTGGATTTTCTTGATAATACATCTCTCATAATCGCTAACTGGTAAGATAAAGATACAATTTGGAGATTTGCTGTCAAATGGGTTTAATTGTTCAACAATTAAACAAGAACGTTTATCATCAAGAACTAAATCAAAAATAAAGGGAAAAACAAAAGTAATTTTAGAATGTTCATCAAATCTTACCAGTCCTAATTTGCGATTTGCTTCTTCTAGATAATACTGTAAGTTTTCTAATTGTTTTCGTGCATTTTTTTCTTCTTCAAGTTGTGCATTCAATTCATTAACTTTACATTCATATTGTTCTAAAACTGTTTGCGTACGTGCGAATGCTTCCTCGTTTTCTTGCATTAAACGTTGCATATCTTGTAGTCGTTTTTCCATTACTTCTCTCGCTTCTTGTTCAGCACGTAGTTTTTCCCTTAATGATATATTAATTAAGTAGAAGTTAATTTGAGTTTGATAAAATATGAATAATCAGACCTGTATAGAAGCAAAAAAGCTATAATTATTCACAAATTACAAACAACCACAAAATTATTGTCCTTACATGTGTCACCACAGTGCACTGCAGTTAAGAGACGAACAAGCATTTATTGAATGTACAGAAAACAAACTGGAGTAGGAGAATGTGAAATTATTTAATTTACTTTCGAAACAAAAAGAGGGGAGAATATTTATTGAATGAATATCTGAATTGGGTTTTTTTCTGGTATATCCTAAGAACCTATTTTAGTAATCGTTTAAAGATCCCCGTCATATTATTACTATTTTAGTAAATTGACTATTGTATAAAACAATAAATGAATAGTGATGTTATTTAGTCTGTGAGCACAAGAACTATTTTAATCAAATTCACTCGAGAAAACTATGAAGCTTACGTTTATGGCAGTAACAGAAAGGTTTTGCCCACTGAATGACAGATAAATACATAAAGTTGTATAACAGTCTGGGTGTAAACTTACAATTATGGACCAGATAAATAACACTTCGAAATTTAGAAACACAGAAAGTCCTACTCTAAAAGTCACATGTATTTTGTTAGTATGTTGTGACGAGAAGGTTGTTCAGTCAATAAAGTGCATCGCAGTAAATGGGACATGTGTACACCTCTTTAATTTTCCATAACCCATTAACTCAGTGAGATGAAATTGTCAGGGAAAATCCCGGAGTAGTGGAGGTAGTAACAGTGTTAATGGTAATAGAAAAGGTTAGGTGTCGAGGATGCCATTCCAGAGGGTATAAATTGGTGAGATAAAAGGATTTTGACGAATATGGTACCTTGGGGTTTAGAAGAAGGCAACGAATGAACGCACCTGCCCAGTCACTAACACTCCTTAGCCATATCGTTCAAGATCTTTAACTATTGGTTACAGTATTCTAGCGAACCTTAACTAGATAACCTTTTAATATGGATCAGTTTATTTGTCAATGATTATTTACATTGCTGCTACGCATTGGTTTAGTTACCTTCAGCCTCCGTCTTACTCCTACATCCGATAACAAGCGTCGATGTAGAGGATGTTTGTCCAAACCATCTTAATTGAAGATTTGTCTCATCAATCGATTTGCTACCTCTACCGAGTACCCCATTTCTAGCCTGACATTGATTGGATGTTAGTCCCAAAATACATGGCGATAATTCGAAGATCCCTTGGTTGTAGTGATTATTCGATAAATCACTAAGCGAAGTAACATTAGACAATCCCTCAGAATAGGCGAAGTTGACACCTTTGGGATAAGTAGGCGAGTTTTTGGATATGAGGTCTGGTTAGAAAATATCATACATCCAAGTGATCGATAAAACATTTTACTGATTTGAAATGTAAATTAAATAACCTGAAATGATATTACTTTGTGTTATCTATCCGCTCCCAATAGGTGGACGAGTGTTTACTCACTTCAGTATTTTTCTCAAAAGCGTTAAAAAATCTGTTTCCTAAACGATAACATGTTTATAACCTTTCTTTTTACTATGAGGGAGTTAAGTTATTTAGAAGGTTACAAGTTTTTTCATAGAAAATTCGGAGCTGCATCTACAGTCAAGGGCCTTTTATATTTGTGCATAATCAATTACCCACATATGTCTTGTTCCAAGGAGTGATCACAAAATACTAAAATTGGGTGATAAGAAAAAGGAATGACTACTGTGTATGAAAAGAATTCACTCAGGGTTAACAATTACTTAGTAGAACAGAGCTAGTTACCCAGAGGTCTGTAGTCTGAATCCTGCAATGATTTAGACTTTTCAAATTTTTAGTTACCACCATTGTATACAAAATAGTATATCAATCACCAAAAATGTGTACACAGTTGATTTGATAAGTAATTCAGGAGTTACACTATCATAGTCTGTTTTTGATTGGTACACGGAGCAAAATATTGACAGGTAATTATCAAAACACATTACGACAATCCAAATCACTTACGAAATCCTCACCACTCTATTTTAGAAATAATTATAAACACAAATCTGATGAGTACTAAATATGGTATAGAACTTAAGATGTTTATTGTCTCTAGTAGCTGAATTCTCATGGAAATCAGCTAGGTCAACACAAAGTGATAAATCACATATGCCACACAATCTTGAACTTTTTTTATGAAAACACTGTGATTAGGTAAGCAAGCGTGATATCATGATACGATATTGTATATGGGAATACCAGAAGCTACGTCTAAGCGTATCACACGCAGAAATGATATTTTTCGCTTTCATCTAACCTTTTACCGAAATAGCATAGTAAATCGTAAACCGTGACCAAGTAGATGTGTGCGTTTGGAATTGGTGCACATGTGTGGTGGTAAAGTCTGGTGCATTAACAGGCTTTTTATACTAGTGTATCTGAATGACTAAACGTCTCCCCATATAGTTGAAAGTTATGCGTTTATACCACTTAATCACAGACGTGGAGCCATATTAGTGATTTAAGTACACTTGATGAAGTTATACTTTACACTTTTAGCATACCTTCATCAACGTAATGAGATATAAGAATATTTCTGAATTAATACATATTTCGATCCACAGTCCAGTTGAAAATGTTTGAGTTCACACTCATTTGACCAGAGAGTAGTAATGGATTTAACAAAAATGGATAACAATCGAATTCTGCTCCTTAGTGCATAACCTTGTTCACAAAACGTAATAGTAACTTGAGAACTCCATTTTCGATTAAATTTAGGGTTGTGTTTACTTGTATTTCTAAAACAACCACATATGGCTGTATATTGGTTGTCAATCCTTAAAAATCAGTACATTAGATATACTACTAATCATGTAGTCTATAAGATCCAGGTGAATGTATGGAGATCCTACCATTAGCTAAAATTGTTTTCAACTGTGAAAATAATATCTCCCAACGATGGCTCACGGTAAGATGATTCTATGATTCATTTAAGTTAAAAGCAAAGTTTTGTAAGCCACTTCGATATTCTATGCAATCCACTTCCATTATCCTATTGTGATGGGAAAAGTCAATACCGTACAAAGCAAAGGGATTGAAATGATAGTATCAATGATATACAAAACCAAACAGAGAATTAAATTCGCAAACAACGAACGTGATCAAGAAACAACAAGTATAAAATAATAATTACATCGAAGATCCGTAGAAAAATAAATGTTGAGTACATCTGGGCTGTTGCCCAAAGCCTCCAAAAAGTGGTTATGACCATATTACGAGTCTTAATAAAAATAATTGCATTTCTTGATACGATTCAACAGTCAGATTTGGTTTGGTTGTCACTAAACCCTTTAGTCAAATGTACCTGTTTTGCAATCATAAAGTAATAAAGGACGAACTGCCGAGTAGTGAAGTTGGCCATAATAAGGCAGAACACTAACACCATACATAACATTATTCGAGAGAACTTAAGCAAGGATTTAATATTGAGTTTGTTAGTCACTAATTGACTGGGGCTGATCACATTCAATATAAGTAAATTGGTAAAAAAAGATTGACTGTTTTATTCTTTATGGTCAGACCAATGTCGCAAATTATTGTGAAGAAACGTTTTGGATTGTATGGAAAACAGACGCGTCCTGAGTACTTCTTTATTGTTCGTGATGGTTCACAGTATTTCATTGACAATATCAGAACTGATATTTGACCAGGCTTTTTTGGAATATGTGCATACCAAGCAAATGCCTCCATTTTACCCTTTTTGTAATCATTCAAGGTAAACAATCTCCATAGCATAATATTGGCTGCAAAAGCAAGTCCCCATGAAGCTCATAACAATTATGGTACAAATGTTATTTGCATTTATGTTTTACCAAGATATTATTAAATAAAATTCATCAAGAGGAAGGTAATAACAATGAAGAAATAATCCTCATATAAACTTTCTTGTAACTGAATCAATTTGTAAAGGTGAAGTGTAAACCGTTGTGTTTTTATAAGCTCGGCTAATTATCACGTGACTTATTCGCCAATAGGAATATGACTTATACAATCTTAGCCCTGTGCCAAACCAATGATATATAGACCTGTATGAGCAGTCTCGAGTCCCGGTTGGTCCTTTTCTTCGCCTAGCACTGACAGTGGATGCCAGAAAACCAATACCAGCTCCCACTATATCTATCACATATTTCAAACATACTAGGTTTATATACAAACCAAACAGACCGCATCACACCATAAAGTAGAAAATAACATTTATCCAAGATCATGCCAAATAGTGGCTGCGATTGTGGGAAACTGTAATTAATAAACTGGAAACAACTCAAAAACAGTAAATTATATCAAATAGTCTATAGGTCAAAATAAAGCTTATGATAAGAGGACTATGATCATACCTAATCTAGTTACCTAATAAATATACGACATGAATATACGTGTAATATTAGTCCATAAATGAATCCCAACAGTCAGTCAGTAACAACGTGGAACTTCGTACGTACGTATATCAGTTCGAGTTGCCACACATTAGCACAGCGATGCAGTGGTCGATTCAAATCCCGTAGTGCTAGATGTAGTAAAATTATAAGCTGTAATCAGAAAAATTAGGGTTTGAAGATGTTATTCAAGGAAAATAATCCAGTGAAATAAATTTGGAAAGAGAAAAAAGAAAGGGACATGAAGAATTCAGAAGATTAGGATTTGGGAGAACAAAAGAGTGGATGCACCTGCAGTTAATTTTGATTATTCTCGTCGGGATATAACACAATAGATTATTAGATATTTATTAAAATACACTCACCTTTCAGCATCACGTATAGTCTGTCGCTCCTTAGCTTTTACTTTCATTTGTTGAACTTCAATCGAATCGGGTTGACGTCGAATAGCATATAATTTATGGTTGCCTGTAGATAGGTTTAGAATAAGTTTAGATGTATGAGTACTATCCGTGTAGAATACGAGAACCTAAAATTAGACAAGAGACAATGAAGAGCAACTAGTGATGTCAGCATGACAATATGTAAAACGTACAATGCCAAAAAAGCAACATTGGCACATTGGGTTAACAAAAAAAGCTAATAAACCCAAAAGAAATTATATAATTAATTCAAAAAACAAACACGGAATAATCTATTTTTATCTTATCACTACATACAAAGGCAACAAAACGATTGATGATTTTACTACAGGAAAACAATGACCAGTAAACTGAGCACAACAACAAATTTTATTGCTTCAAAATATAATGCTGCTTTTTATTTTCAGCTTCTTACATAACAAAATAAGCAAAGCAGAGTAATATTTCAAACATAAGATGGTGACAACACAAATACCAATATGATCACTAAGAAACATTTAGCTGAAAACTAAATACATTCACATTAACCACAAACACTAACCATAGTGATTTTGATGTAGTAAGTCCACTTACTGAAAGTTACAACTCCTATCATAAAAACTAACCAAACAGTATCAAGGAACTAATTGACTTGAGAAACAATAAAAATCACAATAATTCAATAAAATCAAATAGAAAATCAAGAGACCTGTTGTTTCTTTTTGTTATTGTGGATATATGACGGAATTCTGATTAAACAAGATTTCGAGCTGTTTGTCAGGTGTATTTTATATAATTCAAAATAGTATTTCGGGCTCAGATCGAAACAGCCGAAATTGTTATATGTTCATTCAGTAAGACTAGAGGTCACTTTACGAAACTCAAAATCAGTGAATTTTATCTTAAAATAAAGTCAACCGACTTTGATCCCGTCTAGCGCACGTCGATGTATAAACCCGATGAAATTATTCGGTAAGTACCTACTTATAACCAACTGAATAAATAAATAAATAAACAGATTTTTGTCACTTACCTTCCAGAAGCTTCAACAGGCTTGACGAAAAATTTGTTGCGAGAATAGGATAACTTTTGTATCTCATTCCATGGAAAGGTAACCTTTGGTGCTAATCTGTGAAGTTCGGAGAAGAAAACGTTTAATTGAGACGTTACACAAGTCATGAAGTGGACTGACGTCTTTTATATCCAACAATTTAAAGTATTGTGTAAAATTGTATAGCGAAACTAAGTATCGTTCATATATATTGGAACAATATTTCGTTAAATCTGTTTTTTTTTAAAAAAATTAGCATTGAATGTCTTGATTAACGAGTACTTTATAAAGTATTAAAAACGGAATTCACTAAATTGATAGTCCCTTATTAACAATGTACCGTGTTATCAGAAAACACTGACTTATCGTATTTTAGTAGTCAAGCGCAAACCGTAAACGAGATAAATCTACACAATATGGTTGGATGATTTAGATGAACTTTACCAATTTGGGAGTTTTCGTCAATAATCGGTGCGATTGGAAGTCAGAGAATTAAAGAGATGGACTCAAGCTCTAACACCATCCTATAGAGTAAGCCGGTAACCCCGATCAGGATTGAAACTACTCGCAACCGTAGCTGATACCTTGGGATGGCGATTGGGTCTGTTTGTGATAAACCAATCAAGTTACACTAGTCGTAACACTTGTCCGTTTAGATACGTACCATGCCAGACAGGTTGACTGAAGTGACAAAACTACAAGTAGGAACTCCACGTCCACTGACGAAGTCGTATTTTCGAATACATAAGGTTCTAACAGCTGTCAGGTGTACCTCTCGAAAAACCATGATCTTTGGAAATGCTGCATCTTTATGACGTAAAGTAATTAGGGTCGACTTTGAAAATGAAGCCTCACCTTGTCCAATAAACCCTAACACGACACAGGATAGTCATTGACTCTGCAAACTGATATCTCACGATGAGGTAGATGTCCACTTTAGCCGGATGCATTAGAAGAACCAAGGTTGAAGGCTCACGTGCGGTCTTACCACCTTTATTTACTACATTCTACTTTAACATAACGAGTTGCCTCGTGGCTTCATCGCAAGCTAAGGATCATTAGATATCCATGATCGAACACCATAAACTTATTATTCATGTTCTGCCTTCGCATAGTCGTAAATATGAATTACCAAAGTTAAACACTTTCCCACCGTAAACTATAAGTTATTTTACTACGAACGAAAATTTGGACACTCAAAGTACAACCGGAACTATGGTCAGGGTATCTCTTATACATGTGAAATATATCGTGTTTATTAATGTGACTATCATTAACTCAAAGAAACTTGACGGAATCCGTTCGTACATGTGTTTAATTAGATTTCCTTCAAGCTCCAACCTCAGCTTACTATGAAGTAACATTTAGCAAATAAAACTATCCTTATTTATGCTAAAAGCCCTATGTGATATAGCGTAATCAAGATTAAAAGATGTTTGTTTCGAAAGACTGATTGTTATGAATTCGGAAAACAGGAGGTAAGGGGTAGAACTGTTATTATAAACCCATTAGCAGGTAAAGGTACGTAGTTTGGAGTCACACCTTAGATGTGAGGGCTAGTGATACTAACCGGTTGCTCAGGCTGAAGTGAAAAAGGGTTTAAACATGCGACTTAGTGGCTGAAAACAAGAGAAATATTGGAAATTGTCATGTACTATGACGTTGGGAAGCCTATTAAAAACGAAAAACTCACTGGTTGTCATATTCATAAATATTCAAACCTAAAGCATCAATACCAAGCCACAAGTCAGTCTTTTTTTCATTTTTTATTTTAAAAAATGTAACTCCAAACATTTCTAGATCTTGAGCAATTCTTATGTATTCCTTTACTGCGTCGTCCTTGGACATATTTTTATGCGAAGAAACACAATTCATCACTTTGGCTTCCCATTCTTCATCAGTTAGATTATACTGCTCACGTACACTAAAATAAATGTAGACAAAAAAGCATGTCAAGTCGATTTGTGTGGGGGAAACTGAGATCCAGTTTAACATAAATAAGTTTAAAGAGCAAGAGCAAACACTTTTAGGCTGACCTGATTTTGAAGATAGATTATTTATATAGTAGGTGAAGTATTTTTGTAGCATCGAGACAAACATCTGAACAATCAAACCAAAAAACATATATCTTTAAACCACAAGTTATGGATTGCGAGGTTAATTATTTTCATGTTTACACATACTGATTGACGTTTTCCATTAACATGAGTGAAAACTATTTTCATAGACATACAATTTATCCACTCATATGCCAAAAGTTAGAAATACACTTTCGGTTGACATGAAATCTACATTGTAGTGACGGTTGTGTAATGACAAGCAATCTGCTTGCTTTCTTCAACTTAGTCGTAACCAGAGGAAAAATCTGGCCAGTATGTGAATTGAATTAGGCTGATAACAGTAGTGGTAAAACTGGCGAAATGATTATCAAACTGGTAGCAGTAGTATCAGTGAGAGTAGAATAGAAAATGATTTTGGAAAAAGGGGGTTTACGAAACGCAGTATGGAATACTTTTGAAATTCTAGGGTAATAATAAGTGAATACATCTGAGTTATGTCACAACCTCAACAAATCGTCACGATAACCGCATATGCTAAAATGGATCAAATTGACAATCAAAAACTAACCATAATAATCCTATCGGAATTAGGGAAACATAAGCCTTTGATAAGATTAATCGTGAGTGCATAGCACTCTTCTTTAATATTGATGTAGACCAAGCCCGACCTAAGATAATACAATTTAGTGTAGGGATATTTATGTAAGAAAGAAAGTTGAAATCACGTTAAGACACATATACATGGAATACAGGTCTGAAGTGATGGGACGAAGGATTATACAGTATGAGGAAGCATTATAACATATGATTTACGGGGGATTAGAAGAATGAGTAAAATCGTGCTAGTTCAATCAGTTCTGAGTTGTCGTTTAATCTCTAGATATCCAACGACGTACCAACCTTTTGACTAGGTTTCATTCATTAATCTGTAACTCTAAGGACAAACTTGCCGAGCTTATAATTTATGAGGCGCATCAATAAGATTTAAATCAGTTTCGAATTTGTGTGTTTAGCTTATGTAACTATATGGCCAAATAACATCCTAGGGCTATAGTTGATATCAGATTGTGATTTGGAAAAACTAATTCATAACCCTAACATTTGAACATAAATCCTAGTTCTGAGTACCTACGCTACACTTCTACCTTTAACTAACCGTAGTAGGTTGGGTTTTTCCGATCTCACTTTGAGGTCAATCAGATGTCACCCATAAACTAGTTTTACCAATAAGAGTTTAGCTGCACTATTCAACATTTATCACCTAGCTTACACTGATGAAACTAGAAGTGCTAAAGTACACGAATTCGAGAAAAACCTACTTTGCAGAAAGGTATTTCGAGATGTTAAGGGGTTTTCTGATGGTGGATGGACCATTTCCCTCACTGCGAATAAGATATTGATAAGAAGCCAATAAAACAGCAGTTTCTGCAGGACAATAAATTCTCCCACTGACTATGTCGTCTTTAACCTATGGATATCATTACATTGTTTAGCAAAACAGTAGTTACATCATAGTAAAAATACAAACGAGTTGTTTCATCAATGAGTTCATTCGATGGGTCCTCTGGATAGTATTTCACTTTGACGTCAAAATGCAGTGGGCCATCCTTGACTTTTTGCGTTGTCGTAATCTTCTTATCGGCCTCTGGCCACGTAAGTCTGTTTTTGTGGTCCACACACTGAAGACCAAAATACCACATCTCTCTAATACCAAGAGCTGTGCAAACCTGAGTCTTTAAGATAACTACAAGTAGCTTACTTTCGAGACGAGCTGTGCCCCAGAGGCCTTGCGCTTCAATGTGAAGTCCAACTGGGCATCCTTCGTAAGAACAGATACAGGTACCTAGGAAATAAGGATAACTAAAGAAACGAACCAATTTCGGCATCACGCAAGATCACAACCAGTAGCGAACCCGGCGGGCTAATTGTATCGCAACTGTTGAGCATCAAATTAAACAAATCTAAATTTTACCTTGTTGGTGTGCCATATTGAAGATAAAAAGTCTCATGTTGTCACTTCAATTCATATTTAAAATATCGGTGAAAAGCCTTTATAATTCGACTATTTTTTGTGCTGGCTTTTTTAGGTTACGTAGACGCTCCAGCTTTCGCTCAACGGGCAATTGATGTTACCAGGTAGGAACCTTAGTATATTTGACGATGAGGGAGAAAAAAATATTAGAAAACTATAGCGAGATGCTGTTTTTAGTCCTTAAGTATATATCAAGTTTTCTCTTAAATGGCTCCTAAGGAATCATGTGATCTAGCTCAGCAGGCAGCCAATTCCAGCATTTGTCTACTCTTACAGATGTGTGCTTACAGTTCGTTCAGCTGTGTTGCGTCTCTCTTTTATGTGTGTTACCCCTAAGGTTTGTGTTAGAACTGAACTTAAGTAGGTATTTAGGAGGATGCTCAGAAGTACTTAAGGTTCTGTAAGTCATTGGAAGGTCAACTCTGAGACAGCAATACTTAAATGAGCAAAGCTTCAGCGACTTGAGGCGCTATTGATAAGGTTTGAATTAAAGTACTTTAACTGATTTAGTGGCTTGCCTTTGGATGAGTTCCATTATGTCTCTATTATTTTTCAATGAGAGAGGAAACACTGTTTTCATACTCTAAATGGAGTTGAATTAAACTGTAGGGGATCAAGTGGACAGTTTGCCCATTGTACTGGTCAAAAATACGCTTCAACTTTATCAATCCAAAGTTTGCTCGAAAGGCATTTTTGTAGCAGTCAATGTAATATTTCAGATTATAGGGCACCAACTTGGGATACCTCTAGATACGAGTTACATAAGTTGTATTTTCAGTCTACAACATGTCTCCGACAGACTACTTCATACTTAGAAGTGTTAAAGGTTAACCCATTGCCATCCTCCCAGCTCTGAAGTCTCATCAGATCGTCCTGAGGCGCCAGATAATTATCTTGGCCGCAGACTTCTCTCTAGAACTTCACCAAAAGTGGCCAGAAGAGGTCAGTAAATACGCTTTCTCAACTAAGACATACAAGCGGAGAGGTGTATTCTGCTTATTCTGACAGGTATAAGTAGTATGTAGAATCGATCGAAAGTGGAATGCGTAGTGTGGCGTCGAGTCGCGGTTGACCATGATCACCACTACAAGAAGACTACGTGCCAGTTAACCGATAAGATCCTCCGTAGGCCAAATATCAGAAGGCAGTTGATGGCTATAGTCGAGATGTATTTGTTAGCAATCTCGTGGTATCGAAAGAATACCGAGATCGTGCCAGGTTACAAGTGTGGTTACTGAGCGTAACCGAATTCGTCCAAGGTCACAACCAACGGGAGAATGTATGTATTTTGGTACAGTTAAACAAACAAGTACGGTAAAACAATACCTGGCACAATTAGTTATAATAATAATTGTCTCCATTACACCATTCTCGTTCTCTTGATAAAAGTAGGTCACTACAAATGCTTGGGAGTAGAAGATTGAAATGACGAGAACAGGAAAGCGATCATCCAGCAATCGAAATAAGAACAGATTTAAGGGAATAATCGGGTATGTTAAGGGAAATTGAAGGAAAATGTGACAATAATATATTTAATGTATGTTTTTCATATTTTCTGAACGCTGTAATTTTGCATGTAAAAGTAAATTGGTTTTTTTCCACTGATTTTTCGTACGCAAAAGCGGCATGGATCTTTAACAATGATTTCTTGTGTCTATTAGGTACTAACTGCAATATGTTGGTCGGATCACCTGTGTTATCTATTTAACGGGAAGGATGCAGTGGCAAGGACCGGTCAGTAGATCGGATGCAGTTCATGAACTGGCGAAATAATACTAACGTAATGATGAACAATTCTGGTATAAGGTGTGCTTTATACAAGTTTCATACTAAGTTAAATTAATGGTCATGAGATTGCGTGACAGTAGGCTTTCTTTGTACACGTTTGAAATTTCTTAGATAACCTGCTTGCTCATGACCTCAGATGCAATTTCAGGCCACACATTTTAGCAACAATCGGGCTTGTGTTAAAATCTTAGAGAAATGAACTACGTAATACCCAAGACATGGTGAATTTTAAACTGACGATTCGTTATCTAATACTTGTAAAAAGTTAATCAAAATGCAAGTTTGAAGTATGAAAAGATAGATTACAAAAAGGGTTAGGCATAGTTGTGATAATTAGGAGTATTTAAATTACAGTACAAACTAAGAATACCATAAATGACGCAATCGGATCAAGAAGTACTAGTTAAGCACGAACGAATGTGCTGTATTTGAAATTCAAAACCAAGCATTCAACAAGTAAAAAGGAATCGTTTATTCATACAAACATCACAACAGTTCTAACGAAGCATCTAGGAGGCACATCCTTCTAGTGTGAGAAGCAGCCTTTCGCGACGAAACACGATGTCAAACTGAATGTGAAAACAAACACACGAAAGATGAAGCTAAATATTAAGTCAAAATGTTTATGTCCTTCAATTCGTAGTACCTCAAACTGCAAGTACCTAAACATTTATTACTTTGATTTTAACGATTCGACATTAAAAGGCTGAGATGGTATTTGGATAATGAGAAATTGTGATTGAAATTGTTCATATAAATGATCGGTAAACGCTAGAGATGAGTTTTAGTTTAGGTGAATAATTGTGGCATTTTTGTCGTTTGCGCTAGGTAATTTTGTTGCAAAGATTTAGTCATCATTCTTGATATCAGAGCTTACTTCATATCATAGTTTAATTTTTAGATATACGGTCTTTTGTTCCTATTTTTGCTGTTCCAGAATCGCCATTTACTTATTGAACTGAGTTGCGACAATTCGTAGAATATTGCTGACTCTATTTGAATTTTCACGCCATCATGGTGATATTTACTCATTCCTAACCAGCTTTAGTTGCATAGGTATGTTAATTTCAAAGTATTTTTATTTTATAATACTGAAATTTGTCGGCATCTGATGATGACATAGAGGAACAACAATAATTCGTGTTATTCTACCCAAATATTCTTAATTCTCGCTTCGATGTATGAAACAGAAGGAAAAGAGAAAAATCGGAAACATAGGAGGAGCATTTTTGTTAGGTTAAACAATGATTTTTTAGTTGGATCTAAAACAACCACTGTTTATTTCTGAAATCCTGTTTTTCAAAAAAAAAGTGCTGTACTTTATAGTTGGTTTAATTACCGACTTATTTATCGTTTGTCACAGATTCAAGACTACATTTTTCTGATTGAGATCATGAATTAATTGATGTTAGACCACCATTTAAAACCTGGAAGCACTGGACCGCCGTTTCGTTCGCTCTAACATCAATCGGTTCATGATCTCAATCAAAAACTTAACAATCTCCACAACCACTTTACTGATAACTACATTTTTTGATGAAACATTATTTGTCCTTACTTGTATTTCGTACCTGTTAATCTCTCAAATGTTATTTCAGATTATGTTTTATGAAAGACAGAGTAAATCTTCACACTTTAAAAGCAAATATATTTGATAATAATGTAGTGCTGATGTTAACCAAACTAATTAAATTTACCTGGACTTAATAATAATAATATTACAAGGGGTTTTGTGGAGATTTTAGTAATTTCAACAGTTGAAACCATGAGTCTGTAGCGTGGCGTCGAGTCGAGATTGACTATGAACACCGCTACCAAGAAAAACGTGCCAAGTAAATCAAAAGGAGAAGGTCGAACGTTGTAGAATCCAAACTATGGTTTGGACTGCTGAATAGCCTTCCAGGTACGTTAGACACGCACCTTTTCCCGTCAAAATCAAAACAAGTAATCGGGTAAATAGCGGTTCTATAATTTATCATAAATTTAAATGTAAATCGTTACCTAAACAAATATTACCACCCGGTTATTCCACCAATAATTGTTCAATCAATCAAATCTAAATTGCAATAAATAAGGAAGTTGATAAACGATGAGGGAAAGTTACCAGTCACAACAAATGAACGTTATTCTATCCTGACTAGATAGAACACACACAAAAGGAGGAGCGAATCAATATGGCTACCGCCAAGAACAAGTGTCGACTAAAACAACGTAGATACAGTTCGGGAAGAAACACAAAAACTTAGTGAAGGCGTAATAAAATAAAAACTATGATAAAATACAAATATTAACAATTCAAATGTAATAAAAAAACTAACAATGTACAACTAAGGGGATCAATAGGAACAAAGTGCAAGTATATACATGGAGGGATTTTCTAAAACACACAAAACATTCAAAATGGATCTTACACCGGCCCCCAAAATCCCTCCATGCCACACAAGCTACTATGATGCCTGCAGTCATGGTTCATTATATAACATATTACACTAAAGGAACGAGTAGGACTTACAGCAGTACGCCTACTCGACCTAACTACATTAATAACAAAAAAGACTAACCCGAAGCTTCAAGGAGACCTGCTTCATCTGTTCTCTGGTGATCAACAATAACAACCGTGGTATAGACCTAATCACTCTTCCCCAAACTCCACCCATGCTGTTGGATGAGGGTCTCGCTGACAATTCAATATTTATCTTCTGCTGATTCGACTGTTGCACAAACCTCCTTAACTCAGAAACTGCACCCCTGAAGCTTGACGCACTGTCACTGTAAGTCTCTGGAGGTTTCCTTCTTCTTTTAATAAAGCGTAATAAGGCCATTATAAATGAACCAGTAATCAAACTATACATCAGTTCAATATGTACTGCCCATGTTTGCAAACAAGTAAACACATATCTATATCCTTTTTCTAATGACCTTCTTATGTGTCCTGGTTCTTTATGACAATGTCTAATTATCATTTCCGTCACTAAGTGTCGACTGGGTAAAATTACTGGATGTTTAAAAGCATTTAAGAGTTCTGAGTAGCTTAGCCGACCTGTAACACAGAGTAACCCATCAAGCATTATCACAAACACACAAAACATTCAAAATGGATCTTACAAACGTAACCAGGTTTATTTCGTTGGCGACCTCGTGGTATCGAACGAATACCAGAGTCGTGCCAAGGAATGGTACAAGTGGAAACAGGAGAAAGGAGTACGTGCGAACAGTACCAAAAACCGCGAAACAATGATGGAAGGTAATGGAAGCACAAAATGGCTATAATTAGCACAGTTAAACAAAAGCATATTAAAACAAGCACTGGTACAGTTGGTTATAATAATAATTGTTTTTATCAAACCAGTCATGTTCTCGTGATAAATGTGAGTCACTACAAGTCACTTGACGCTAGACCACCATGGAAAACCCAGAAGCAATGGATGGTGGTTTCGTTTTATTGTGGGACACCTCGGCAACCTGCATTCATGATCCCGCCCCTCGCGTGGTTCGAACCCAGGACCTATCAGTCTCTTTCCAGTAGCTTAATCACCAGACCACTGAGCCGGCATCCGACGGTGTTAATGTCTAACTTCGACTAATCCACGAAAGTGCGCCACCGTACACCACTGTCTTCAGTGAGCTGATATCTCACAAATACCTGGTTGAACTCCACTGGTCGCGGCTTCTATCGAGAACTCCAGGGAATGCCTCTTGAAGTCAGTCACTAGTGAGCAGTTGATTATTATCACAATGGTGGACGTTGGCTCAATTTCGTGGATTGAAGTTAGACATTGACTCCGTTGGATGCTGGCGCAGTAGTCTAGAGGTTAAGCGTTTGCACGCGAGACCGATAGATCGTCGGTTCGAGTATCGCGGGGCGAGATCGTGAATTTGTACTGCTGAGGTGTCCCACACTAGGACGAAATGGTCGTACAGTGCCTTCACGTTCTCGATGGTGGTCTAGCTTCAATTGACTCATGATTTCAACTATTGAAATAATATGTTTAAAGCAATTAGTCTCTTTGATAAATTTTGATAGTGTAATAAGAAGACGAAGATTATCAGAACTATGTGATATATTAGTGCAATACATTTCAAACAATCTGATCACACACACTTGTTAAGAACATTTATACATAAAAATGAAAGGTCAGTTGAAATAGAAATGGAGAGTAAGAGAAGACAAGGATAATAAAGAAAATAATGCGAAAAATTTGAAACTGTAACGGCATTGGACCATAACCATACAATCCTCAAAGTTGAAAATGAGACAACTCGGGAAATAGATATTCAATATTTGACGCGGAGAAATACCTAACGATGGAGAAGACGGAAAGAATGATTGAATTGATTGGAGTTGATCGAACGGCGTGGCTCGGCCATGCAGACGTGGCCCATGGTGAATGTTACCCTATATCTTCTATTCATATTAAATGCCACTACAAAACTTTACCACTCTGGATAATAAGCTAATATTACTAGGGTTGGTTTAAGTTGAGAACAACCTGTTTTTGAACACACATAGGGGGTTTGAATTTTCGTAGGGCTAAGGCTTCAATAAACCTTAGTATACTCCCTTTTGCACAAATGGCGCTATTGATGATGACGCTAGATTGTTAAACAAAGCACTAATGGGAAATGGCTATCCCCTTAAATTCATAAATAGATGGAAATTTTATGGTACAGTGAGACGTACTATAGCCTTGGCAGAAAAAAACCTAGATGTAAAGTGTCGACATCACCATACTATTTAGAGGTGATTCAGATAGCCTTTTATCAAAACAAACGCTTAAATCGGTCATTAACAAGACGTATTACTCAGTGATGGTCATTATCAAGGAAACAAAAAGGTTCATGCTTCATTGAAAACCTAAAAGACATGAAAGTGATTGCGTCACATCCCACTGGATTTACCAGTTTAAATGTGTGTGTGGCCACACATAAATAGGGATGTTATTGTGATCACCAAATTAAGGTGTCAAATAAAATCAAATGACCCAATAAGAGTAGATGATAAACATTCATGATCCTCTATTGTCAAACATATAGTTGTAACAGGTCACAAGTTTAATCTTAGCTTGGTTTTAATGGTGTTGGACAAATGTGTTAAAGGGCGTATACTAAGGCTTATTGAAGCCTTAGCCATACGAAAAGTCGAACCCCCTTTATGTATTCAAAAACAGTTTGTGCTCACCTTAAACCTGCCCTGATAATATAAGTTCATTACTGAGCATGGTGAGTTTCATATCGTTTTCTACGTTATTTCCTCTGTTTCCATCTAACCTCCATATGTCTAGTCAACCTTATATATATATATATATATATATATATATATATATATATATATATATATATATATATATATATATATACGTTCTTAACAAGTATATGTGTGATCAGATTGTTCGAAATGTATTGCGCTAATATACCACCTAGTTCTAATAATCTTCGTCTTCTTATTGATAGTGTTTCTTTTTAAAACAAAAAAAAATTGAATTGTTGTTCGCTATGTTATTATAACAGAAACATACAAAAAATAACAATCTTTATTGGGAATTCACATATATTGCTGTGTATCATGATAATTCTTTACGTACAATTTTTCGCATTTAGATTAATTAAAAAATATATTTTACCAATTTAGTGAAACTGTAATATATTTTAAGAAATACTGTCATCATATGGACAAAATATAGTGAATAAATCGTCCGATCTAATTGACATCTAAATAAGGGACCCCAAAAATGTGATAACTACGAATGGCAAAAATAGTGCAATTTAAGGTAGGTAGAATTAGATGAACACAAATGAATGTATTATTATTTGTAATTTGTAATCAGCACGTAATCAAGTACAAATGAATCATCAGTTAGTACAAATACCACAATTATATAGAACAAATATAACCTTGTTTTATAATTTGCATAAAGGTAAATTATACCTATAATCAAAATAAGTAAAACGATGTATAGCATTAATATTTTGACTAATTCTTAAATATTTCAACTCCTTTTTAAGTACAATCCTTGTTTCATTTGTTTTTCTTGCTTTAATAATTAAATTGTTGAATTCAACAGCCTCTTCTTCTTCTAATTCATCTAGTACTTTTGAAAACTATAATTAAAAAAAAAAGAGTCAAGAAGTTAACTAAATTAAATTTAATGGGAAAAAACGAAGGAAAAAGAAACTTACGTTGATCAACTGTTGTTTCTTCTCGTCGATTTCATTGAAACTCATTTGTGTATATTTTGTGTATTCATTATCAAGATCAAATTTCAGATTCCTAATGTGTGTTCTGTAAATCAAAAGTAAACTTTCCAAAATACAAATTCAGTAAGTTTCAAAATATTTTATGCCGTATAGTAAAGAATTTCAGATAGCTTGTTTTTATCCCCGAAACTCCTTGATTATTCAGTGGTAAACACAAAATTTAAGGTCCTCCAGAAGGTATAAAATGATATGTACCTGACGGTTTTATTATCAGAGGAGTTTCCGTCTTTTCTTTTTCAAAAACACTAAACAGAAGTAATGAGTAGATCTTTTATATGTCACAGTTCTTAACTTTTTTGTCAACTAATGATAAAGTTTGGGACACAATAAAATAGTGATATTTTGTGGTAGTTTAAACAAGATTCATCAATTTGTTTCATTTTTCTGGCAATTTCAGAATTAAAGTTTAAGTATCAACGTACTAATAATTATTTGGTGAAGCTGTTTCGGTGAACTAACGACTTTGATTCAGTAGGCTCGTATCATACGATTAGGGTTTTATGGTCTTAAAAATTTATAAACAGAATACCTATTAGTAACTGCAAATCACTAGAAACAGTTATATACATTAGATAAAAGAGAAAATTCTCCATGAATAGTTTCCTGGTTGTCAACACTTATCATAAAATTAACTTCAACATTACTGTGTTACGTCTTTTAATAGATAGGAACTCTATTTTATATGAAGATTATGCCCTTAACTAAACGTGAGGAAGTGTTTAAAAATTCCATTTTGAGGTCAGTGTTAACCACTGTATCGATTCAAATTGTTCTGTTCTTGTTTCAAAAAAGAAAACAAATGATTTGCCAGCTTTCATCCGACGGTTTCACCTGTGTCTAGCAATTTCATTCACGGGATTAAACCTTTCTTCGCAGACTTAGGTGCAAGTAGAGCAACGCTGTTATTACCTTTTACTAAACAATAAAAAATACTAGGTTGGTTAATGAAAATTTGCACATATAAATATAATAATTAACGTCTAAAAATATCATTTATTTAGTACATAATTCATGTTTCAGTACGTAAATCGGTTATGCGTCTGTAATGTAAGGTATTTTTAGGCATACAACACCCCTAATCTTTTCGCCGGTCTAATCAATGCTATCGAAGAATGTATCTAAAGCTGGATTCCATGAATATATTACACGCTGTAGAATAGAGAACATCATTAACCTGTGTTTTTCTTTGTCAAGTCATGATAGTAGATATTTTTCAATAAGAGGAAAACGTATCTACAACGGATGGCTTGTGTACTAAGGTTCATAAAAGTAGGTGAACAGTAAAATAAACATTAAATTGGCCAGTCGTTATAACCTAGCTTTTAATCAGAGGGCGATTTTGTTTTTATAGAAAGATTTTCTGTACAGACTGTCTTTTGACCTGACATCCACTTCAGATATACTTTTTCATTATATCACCAACAATATCTTTAAATTAAAGGTTTACGGATGGTGTTTTTTAATATTGTATGAGGATTACCTTTTTTTTTACATATAACCAGTCTATTAAAATGAAAAACAAACTTACAGTAATGAATGTAAATCATTCTCTTTTTCATTTAATTCAATTAGATTTAAATATTGCACAGTTTTTATTTGATTAAATGTATTCATCAACTGTTGCTCATGTATATGTAATGGATGATTTATGCTGTAAGGATAATTTGTTAATTCATCTTGTTGCTTTGATTCATTAATTTCATCAACATAATCTTCATTATTTTCATGAGATTCTCTATTAGAATGATGATTAAATATTTGTTGAGTAATTTTACGACTACGTAATCTATGTTGAATGCATTTTATTTCATCTTTATTTTTTGTACTTAATTGTGATTCAATAATTTGTTTTCTATAATGAAGCCAAGATTGTTCATTTATCCAGTTATTAGAAGTAGGATATTGTACTGTTGCTAATGAATTTGTACATACTTTCCATATTGGATGATTAGCTTCATTACCGAATACAGTTTTATTGAATGCTTCATATGCATCTTCAATCTGAATAAAAAAATATAATAACAAGTTAATTATATAGAAATGCTATTTTGTTTAAACTAATGTAAGTAATTTAGAATTTCTTAGGAAACATCTCGATGTGTGGCAGTATGGAAAGTTTAAAATTTAATTTGGTAAATTGGACTAATCCAAATATCGGGCGACCGTTTGATTCATTTAGTATCCTTCTCATTATTGGTGGAACTTTAATACTTTAGTGCAAGGAGATGAGTTGTTGAAATTAGCTAATTGGGTGAACGGCAGAAATAAAGAATCAATGGAAATGACTACTAAATTCATAATTCTAAATAACTGACTTGAAAATAATGATGTTTAGGAAATAAGTAGCAAGATTATCCATTATTGACTATTAAATTCACATAATTGTAACTTATTCACATTGGAATACGTATCTTGAAAATTATTGTTTTAATTCAGAACATCTTTATCATAAATCAAATCAGTAAACAGATTCAATCTGAAAATTGCTCTAAAATACTGGATACTGATAAGTTTAGTATAACTTTTTAACGAGGTATCCACACTTTTTCCCCTACCTATGAATTCAATGTTGTTAACTGAAGTGTCCAAGAGAATCGATTTTTAACTACTAGTATACAATTTGGACATAAAGGTAAATTACTGTCTCGTTATTTTCAAGTATTGCTTTATGTTATTTTATTTACTCAGTCTAACTAAACATCATAAATTCACTGATTATTCATTACTGGAAATATAATATCACACTATAATACTTGGTAGTAACTAGGCATCTTTGAATTCGACGAAAAGAGGACGTTTTATTGAACCAATCTTTCTTATTTAGAAGTATAATTATCAAGGAAAGATCACGAATTAGGTTCAGTAAATTACCAATGAAAAATATTTTTTTCTATTGATGATTGAAGCGACGTTTCAGATAGTTTCACTTCAATAGTCACAACATAAATATGATAAAACCTACATGATAATGAGTTCGTAACAATTCCATTTTCCATTTACGATATTTCTGTTTATACAAATATTTTCGAATTAAAATCCATCCCCGTGTTGCTTTTAACCACTTTTCAATTTGTTTCAAATGAAGTGACTGAATTTCAAGGTCATTTTTCAATTGCTAAATAATTTGTATTAATGAAAATTGAACATTTCACGTACACAGTTTATAAATAAGGAACAATTCAACAAAAACACATTTTTTTCACATCCTTTTAACTAATCTAGATCTTACATGTTCGGTTATTTGAATACAACTACTTAAGGATGTTAATCCTAGTAAGAATTTTCAAAGTATTTGTTTTTAGTATCCAAAACGTTGGTATTACGAATATACTCATAAAAACCTAAAGATCAAGTTTGTTTTGGTTATTTTATAAGCGTTTTGATTATAACTCGAGAGAGTTTGGAAAATCAAGAGCAACAATCGTTCAAATGTTCCCTGATCCAGTTTATCCTATTTCGTTATGTGGAAGAAGGCTATTTTTTACAAAATTGAAAAATGTAAGCAAACCTTTTATTCCGATTAACATACTAATTTCATATTAAAACTAGTGTGAACCAAAAAACTGAGGCTTTGTTCCAGTGAAGATCAATCTTAATCAGTATTGTCATTTATTGATTCTAATTTGATATTATCATCAATGTTAATTCCTAAATAATTTCTATCTTAAAATTTATTATGATTAAAATTAATGAAGCGCAAATGATGTCCAGAATGATAATGGAAGCGTGCAATAAAACCATCGTGTTCAGAGATAGGATCATTAACGTTCTACCTAGGACAGAGGTGAGCAATCTACTGGTGGAGATTCAGTCTAATTTGACCACCCGTTGGTGATAATTTATACTTAAAAGCTCTATTATCTTCATATCTATTGGCATTCCTATTGACACTTGTCTTGAACTGGTATATAATCATATGATTTTTTAAACTGGTGCTGACTGATTAACGGATTGCATCTGTATCGATATATTTACTGAGAACAGACTGACATGAATGGGAAGTTTGTAGAAACTGTCCATCGTCCATAGAATGTGCTTGGATTATAATTTTAACATCTTTTTAGTAAGGTTCATATTCAGAGTGGTCTTCAGACATGGTATTGTAATTAAACCATCCAGTTTATAAACTATAGAATCATCATAGATGATGAATATTCTTTTTTTTCAAAATGTAACATTGCTTACATTTATCTGTTCATTTAGATCGTTCACATTAGCTCGAAATAGTTGATCGATTTTCTGCATTTGTATTTTATAACTTTCTTTATTTCGAATAAGATTCTGGAAATAAATAAAATATGTTAACAAGTACGAACTGTGTTATAATGAATAAATCTCATTTCACAAATCATAAATTCAAAAATTAGACAATCGGATTCATATATTTGTCTGAAAGTTTAATGGTTTACAGCTAAATCTAGTATGATGTCTTGGCTGTGCAATGTTGAGAATTTCGAAACAGTCTACTCTATCCCTTATGGCTTTCCAGTGGTTCATCAACGGATATCATTTCAGGATACAAACTATCTACAAACTGAGTATATTTCGAAAAATAGAGTATCTTAATGTTTACTTGTGACTTTTGGGTGAATTTGATAGCTGATTTGTTGCCGATTCATTTCGAAACTTCTGAATATTTTAGCAACATGCATTTTATAACAGTTAGTCCTTTTGATGAGTTTGAATAATGTAATAAGAAGACGAAGATTAACAGAACTATGTAATGAATTAGCACAATGCATGTCGGACGATCGGATCACACATGCTATTGTTAAGAACATTTATATGTGGGAAGTAAATGGTCAACTAGACAAACGGAAGTTAAGAAGAAACAAAGATGATAAAAAAAATCTGAAAAATAATGTGAAACTCACCATGCTGGATAACCAAAAAATACCACCAGAGTCGTTTTAGGGTGAGAACGAATTGTCACAAAAATAAAATAGAATTAGATGACGTAATAAGAGTAGATGATAAACACCCATCTTTCTCTATTGTTAAATACAGTTGAAACAGATCATAAGAATGACCTTACTTCAGCCGTTGAAGTTTCGTACAAAATTTGTGTTACTTGACTATTTTGAGTCAAAAATCTTGCGTCATTTATCTGTCTTCGATTTACCGTGAGATTTTGATGTTAATGAGTATTTTAGCAAACATGAATCGGTGAAATACTATGCAACATAATGATTAACATTTATTGATCTCATTCTGTTTCCTACTGATTGAGATCTTATTTATTTATGGAAGCTTTTCTGTTGTAGTAATGTTGAACATTTTCTAAACTTTCATAACTAATAATTTCTTGTCCAAGTAGATGGACAAGTTCGAAGTAAAGTTAACATGTATAGATTTTATCATTAACTGTGAAAATGTTCCGGTGACAATTAATAGCATTTAAAAATATCTATTATGTTAATATTAGACTGGTGTATTATAATGAAGCAGATTTATTACTCAGATGAATAATCTTGGTGAACTTGTGTTGTCTGAACTCGTTTTGGGGAATATTATCAACCCTTTAAGTTGTATTGGACTTATTAGTTATTGTATGAGCTCTAGATCAATTCATTCTAATGAACTTGTTTGAACATTCCGTACTATGAAGTAAATTTAGTTTGAAAAAGTTGTTGACAGTTGTACCTTAAAGTATAAGTCTAATAAGATAGAATATTGCATGAAATAGATTAATGCTGTTACTTCATCCATTTACAGTTTTTATGGTATCTACAGTTTATAGTAATATAGTGTAATATGTTACATTTTAAACAACCAACTTTATAACAGTTTTTTTTAAACGACATTGAAAATTTCAAAGTTGGATTCATAAATCGATTGAAGCTAGATCATCATTGAAAACCTGTAAGTACTGAACGGCTGTTTCGTCCTAGTATGGAACTCCTACTGTGGTATTTGCTACTGATGTCGACAGATATATGTAGTGTGTATCATCAATCGAAAGTGAAACGCCTGGCGGCAGAAGGTGAAGAAGATCGAATACAGGAGAACGAGAACAGAGAATGGTTGATTTGGAAACGAAAGGACAATCAAGTCTGAGATGATTAATTGACATCTTTCAGATGCAGTATTTACTGCATAGTTCTCAGATTTTACTAACACGTTCTGTAACTTTGTATTTAAATGCATTCGATCGTTCCCACCTGTTTCTCGTTCACTACACTACAACTACAATCTTCACAAATCCCCATACATTGATAAGTGACTGACTACGGGTTATTGGTAAAGTCATGAAGTTGAACATAACTGCATAGATATACTGTGTTATAACTTAAAAACAAGATAATAATGAAACGATATTGTATATATATTGTATAAAACTTACTTCTTCGATATCATTTATTGCATTTGTTAAATAGTCTACTTGTTTTTGTGGTTCTTTGCGTAAATTTTTAAATTTTTGTAGCAACTTATTTTGATCTGATTCAGTATTCATCGATTCCTAATGGATGAAGTTTTAGTGAAAATGTTTAGTATCATTCTTTTATGGATGTATAATAAAATATAGTTGTTATATACAGTATATATTAATGGTTTTAATAGCAATCATAATGATAATAAGATATGTACTAGTAATATACATGTTTATTTGGTTAATAATACAGGGAATTTTAAGCGGTTATTTATTCAACGATACTTTGGGGCCGGGTTCGTTAATTGCCAAGAAACCATTCAAATCTAAGAACAGATGAATAGTTACGTTGGTCTAGATAGATGTTGCTTATGACTACTTGTCAAAGTCCCTGTCAAAATTTGACGCTAGAAACTTTAGAAATTCTGTTGAGCAACTTGAACTTGTTTGTTGAACATCATGTGTTTCGCACACCCTAGTGATTGGGATGCCATGAAAACGTGAGTTTTTCAAATGATTCAGAATTACTTGATCTCAGTCCAATTCAGTTAGTTAGCTTTTCAAGATTTATTTTGATTAGTACCAGGTGTATGTAAAGCTTGACAATAGAAGGTTGATTTGTTTTGAGTGAATCATGAATAAAAATATGATTTTTAAGATTTATTTATTTCCTGAAACTATCGGCAATATAGACAAATTAAATAGGTCTAATCAAATCATTAATTTACAGTGAATGACCGTTAATTGTATTTTCTCTCAATTAATTTATGATTAAATTAACTATTTACTAAATCAATTCACTTGGTATTACTTAGCTTGTATCTTCCGATTGAGGTTTAAGACTGCAATTGATCAGTCTGTTATCGGCATATGTGCATACTGTGCGTATGCCTTGATATTGCCTTAATTCACAAGCCTTTTGTAAGCAATGATGGATAGTGACTAGCAGTAGAATCCAGGACGTGCGTTTCGTCCTATTCGGGACTCGTCAGCTGGATGTACCTTCATCTCAAAGTTGATGTTCACTCTGGGACTCGAACCCAGTACCATTCGCTTCAAACGCCATCGAAGTTATCCACTTAGCTACTGAGTCCTGATAGCCACTTGCTTGTGCAATGGGGTGAATTTCAATTCACTTGGTATTATTTGGGTTCGAGTCGCAAAGTGAACATCAACTTTGAGATGAAGGTACACCCAGCTTACGAGTCCCAAATAGGATGAAACGCGCGTCCTGGATTCTACTTCTAGCCACTATCCATTATTTACTAAATCATTATATTAAAGTGGTGTTTTGTCACTTAATATTTTATTTTGGGAATTTCACCATAATTAAATATTTTTTTAAAATTCAAGTTGACAAAAAACTAGATATGACATTTATCAAAATATTATCACTGTAATCGAAAATGCACACATATCACTTACATGTATGGATCTCAGCTAATAATTCTACCATGTTTTCTTAATGGATAGTTTTGATAAGTAGTATAAATTATGGTGACGGTGATAATGTGATTCATGATAACTATTTATATTATTCCATTAAGAGAACAATAAGGTAATAAAAGGAGCAGATAAGAAGAAAAAGAATCATAGTTGATTTTAAGTGTTAGAAATGAATGCGGATTATTAAAAGACAAAATACTTGAAAAGGTTCAATCGGAATAAATTTTATTACCAATTTTGTGAATGTATGAAATGAATTATATCAGTCTGAGTATTAATTAATCAACAATTTGACCTTGAACAATAGGATATAAATTGAATATTATAGGGAGAAACAGTAGGTAATATATAATTTGTTAAATATAAACATATATATCTTTATTACATTCATACTTAACAGAAATGTCACTATAGTGACAAAGGTTTGTTTATTATTGCGGGAAATTCAGCTCAAATAAAAACAGTCAATATTTACTTATTCCCCCCTCCCATCATATTCAGTAGACTGTAGGAAGATTTGTTTAAATGTTTAATATAAGCATAGATTTCGTAAATCTTGATAGAAAGAGTCATTTCTAGAAAGAATATTAACAACCAATAAAAACTCGGCTAACATCCAGTGAAACAATCAATTAACTGTAATTGCATCTAGTTAATTGTTGTATTTTTCATGAATTATGCTACATATTACTGTTTGTTTGAATATTACTGTGTACGTAGAGATTATAAGTTGAAAGTCATCAATAATAAATGTTAATAGCTTGAGTTTAGCAATCAGGTCAGATCCTAATGAAGATTATTAGTTTATAATATATTCTAACCGGCCTCGAATTCTCTTTAACATCCAAGAGACTGATTCGCTCCAGAAACTAATTCACTGATTTATTTTGGTAGACCTATTGAATAGACTAAACCTTTGAAGATGATCACATCCAGAAATATTTATGCACCATTAACACTCCTATTGATCGCAACATTCAATTGATTGATTTTGAATTACGGATTTACTAATTTCAATTAGCTAATCTTAGATTCCAAGTAGTTCCGATTGTATAATAAATACACCCACTAGTTCATTACGATTTCCGTCATTTTTTAACCTTTTTTCTCTCCTTCAGAGCCTAGAGTTCGCTATAAAACAGGACAAAATATATTTTTTGAGAACTTCAGGAATCCTGACCACCCTCTGTTGGTCTAATATTTAATGATATTTGAAAACATAGGATAGAAAAGTCTGAGAGGCAAACTGGTCCCAGTTAATTTTACCAAGTACTTGATAATATATATAAATTATTCCTACTCTTAATTATGTCGCTGTTAATATTATTTATCAATCTACAAGCAGTTACAGTGAATATATAAATAACACTTTGAAATAAGAATTTGATTAGATTTTGATGCATGTACTGAAAAATGTTTGCTTGGATGATAGCGATATTAATAAAAGTGTAGTTACCAGATATTTTACAAACGAGAGACAAGTCATTTAATCGTAACCAGTGATTTGTGCCCTTTGTATTACTCCGAAATGAATTTGTTCCCACGAATATATAACTGGATTGCGCACCCTGATACCAAATAACTTGTCGGCTTTATTTGGATATGCGACATGAAGTGCAGATAAACTATTGTAAAATGAACCAAGATACTCTTTCTTGGATGACAATCTTTTATTGAAGATATTTTTCACATTTATTGTACAATAATACCACTACTAGGTGTTATCATACAGTTCTGTGCATGGAGACCTGTTGGAAACTACTAAAAATAACGTCTGGTTACTTCATTAATAATTTCTAACTCCGGCTTTAATAATAATGTTGAGTACGCCCAATCACCACCTACCTCAAAGGGTGATAATTTCTGATGCAGGAATTTGCTAGAAGTACTTAGACGAAAGCATGGGATTAGTTCATGAAGTCACCAGTGACTGAACATAGCCATGTTAATAGGTGTAGACTGACCGATTTCTGTCCGTGTGATTATCGTAACCAATGGTTAGAGACCATGACATGGCTCAAAATCGTTTGCAATGGCTTAAGCGCGTCCATTATTTATCTCTCCCAAATTCTGAGACTTCGAATTTTCCATGACGTCCTTTTTGTTTTAATCTCGTCAATTCAAATAACTTTCCTCGCGTCGCACTTTCGATGCCTACGTTTTTTATATTGCCAGTGAGGAGAGTACATGTCCGCATCTCCGAGCATGTTCTAGGGAAATTGAGACTTAGAGTGGTAATGACTTAACAGTGCGATAGCTCGGCATTTACTTGATACCGGGCACACCATTGACATTTCTCAAGCCTTCAGAATTATTAGCAGACAAAAGAACACGGCGTCTCTTCGGTTTGCTGAAACAACAGCGATAAAAAAACTCAAACCTGAATTATGTATCCAAAAAGAAACAGTAGTAAACCTACTTCTACCCTGGTAAATCATTTCTTTATGGTCTTCCCTCGCCGAATTCTTATTTTCTGTACATTAAAACCATCCTTTCACTCATATATTCGCATTCGCTTATATAAACTCTCGGAATCCTGTCTGATTATTGCGCAACCCATCTTATCAGTTTTTTAATTCCATGAATATTATGGAATCCATTCATAACCTCTAAGATTATCATGCAATTTATCTTGTATCTGTCCAAGCAGCAACTTGAACCGATGCATGTACGTAGCTGGTCCTACGTTGTAGCTGACTGATCTGTCTCTGAACCTTAATTAGTGCGTCACCCACCCCTTATTTTTTGGATTCCAACATCAAAAGAACCGCGACCTGTTCCTGAACATATATAAAATTACTATTGATTACCTTTATCATCCCAATTCTTTTCATTCATCTACGTCAATTGCATCACACTATATCTTCAATGTAAACTTTCAGTACATATACGGTTGTAAGCAGCTGATGAGAAACCCCGAGATGTAATGAACTAATATTGCTCTGCATCCACGTTTGTTCTGGCTTTATTTAAATTCATAAAGGGAACCAACTGCATGAAATCTTCGAGAAATTACTAGTGATATTACCTTTACTATTCTGAGATTTGATATGATAATTTCACCTCTCTGAGCTGATGGGGTACGACAACTTGTACATAACCTTCAGGTTCTACGTTGTGACAGACTTAATAATACTGAACGAGACTGATTATCCTTTTTCCCGGCCCACTAATTATAAATAGAAGTTAAAGATTGCCGGGAAATTTTATTGGTAGAGACCCATTTCAATACATTTATTTACATACAGATTTTATCGTAGCAATCATTAGTTAAGTCATTTGTCCCACTGGATGAAGTTTACACAAAATTAGTTCAGATGAATGTCCTGCTGAACGAAAATTATAGCGAACTAATTCAAAAGTTAAATTAGTGCGAATCACACCTAATTATTTAACACAATGAAAGTTGCACTGACTTAATACGGAAATTGGCTCGAAAATTACATTTTATAAATTTAAAATGAATTCCTTTTTAATGGATTGTGCTGGTCACATAACATTCCCCACAAGTAAATAATCTTGAGTGTTTATAATTTAGTGAGAACAGATACTTAACCACATGATCTAACACATCTTATTTTATATAAAATACAAGTAATAATTACAATTTAATACTTAGGGAGAAAACAGTTTACAGGAAAGGTTTAAAAGGTGAAGCCTCAAAATATTTGTTTTCATATATTATATCAAAATAATTCAGATGTTAAAACTATATGTTCAAATATGTAAATCATCATCTGGATCCTCGTCATCCAAATCATCAAAACAATCAGGCTGATACTGAATAACACAACCAGGAGATTCACTTTTCTCCACTGTGTTGGACAGCCGTACTGCATCATGCGGTAAAACGACGAAACTACGAGCAATTTTTTCACTTTCAGTCATTGTTAGATTAAAAGTGCTCTTAGGTAAAGGACTAGGCACTGGTAAAGAATCTGGTTCATTTTTATTTATCGAGTACTTGAGAATTTTTAAAGCTTTTGTATCAAGTTCGATGGTACCACATTCAGTAAATGAAGACTTGTTGAAAGAGACTGAGTTCTCTATGCATTTGTTACACTCACCCTGAAGGCTGCGACGATGAAATAATTTCAGAGATTGACAGATCTGATTCGTCAAACTATTTGAAATCTCTGTCAACGACTGGCAGTAAATAACAGAAGTTGCATATGCTTCTAGTGTATCAATTATTGTGGAAGATGCACCATAATATACCTTGCTAGAATTATCTATTACAGGATTAAAGTTACAAACTACTCGTTGTACATAGGGTGATAAAGAAAGATTAAACAAAGAACCAATAACAAACTGACACCAGTAATCAAATTCATAATCGATAGGACAATCAATTAAAAACCAAGATAATGACTCTATGAAGATAAATGTTTGTTGATCGTTCCGTTTTCTAACAGAACACGATAACTTTGACAGCTTATTTACAAGACTTTCGGAAGTTTCATAATTATAAGTATGCAGAACTTTAAGTGACTGATGAGAATTCTCAACAGTTTTGTAGTTGTATAATTCAGAAGTAACAAGTATGCAAGTATATTTTTCACAATTCTCATTTATTAAACATTTCCACAGCCAATTATTATTATTGCGAGGCATATGGCATTCATCAATGTAGGCGATAAAATTGGAAGGTATTTTATTGAATAGTAGATCAAGGCAACGTTGCTTCACCATTATGGCAAAAACGTACAATTATTTGAGAAACGGGTACCTATATACTTATAGATAACGGACGGGTTCTATTATATCTGAAATTTAAAAAATGAAGTTGCGTTAGATGTGTAGAAGGTGAATGCTTATCATATTTAATATGAAAATGTTATTTTTTAACATCGAGATACTTACAAGTGTGATAGAAATAGCTTAAGATGTTTACAACGGAATCATAGATGGTTATTTAGATAAAAAAGGCTTGTACAAGTAGGATATACCCGATTATTTAAAATGACACGAATAGTGAATATTGATGTACCATCACAAGGTATTCCAAGCTACTTTTTTCGACGTCTATCCAGTTGTTTTGGGTAAATTAGCATTAATATGCTGTTCCTTTTTTATTACTGATGAATTTCAAAGTCCGTACTTTAAAGCATAAACTTGATCGTGAAAACGAGATAGAAAACACAACCATTTCACAATGTCGTCGAATAAGATAAATGGTAACTAGCAATGCAGAAACGAATTATACTTTGTAGGACTTTTGGTCAATGCACTAGTTTTCGTCTACTGTTTTTTTGTATAACAATATTTGTTCGCCTTATCTAAGTGGATCAGAATGTTTTTGAATTAACGTCAGACTTTATATGAACATAATGAATAAGGTAGTGAATAGAAGTGGAAAATGTACATAAAATTAATGAGCATTCACTAAAGTTCTCTTTGATGACAAACTGATAGAAGCGCTTGTCCAAAACAATTGTGCTGGAAAGGACAACTTTCAGTGATCTTTGGTTCATTTTAGAAACGCCCCTCGGTTAAAGACTTGCGAAAATGATAGTGTCAACGACTATGACTAACAGTCATATCTAAACAGACTGCACAATGAATGACCTACAAGCTAATTACCCCCAATTGCCTATGATATTTTATTGTTTGTTTTGTATTTATGTTCTATGTTACAGCATGTTATTTTATTAGATGAAAAACATCTCATTTGACTAGTGGTTTTGTTTTTGATTTCTAATCGCCCTAAGGCCTGAATCAATGATGCGGTCTCATGAGCAACTGCGAACGTGCTCCACAATCCATTCAGGAAGACTTAAGGGAAGGAAAAAGTTTCGACAGACTGGAAAGGATACCTCATCAAGATACTGATAAAAGATCTGAGGAAATCGGAAATCTACAAAAGCACCACCATTATGTGGTTTATGTTAATCAGTATTCTAATAAGATTACAAACTTACAAAACGAAATGTTTGGACAATTGTTAAGCTGCAGATGGTCAAGACAAGCGCTCAGGTCAGGCCCATTCAGAGCAGCCCGCCGTTTTGTCCAACGACCTTGGACGGCTTGGTATGGGGCGTCACTCCGCATTTCAGTTGCTGCGGGTTTGTTCAGTGTCCATTTGGTTGAAAGAATATTAAGTGTCTTCATATTTAAGTAGTCCTTCGCTGTAGAAAAATCTTAAAATCATTGAGAAGAACATTATTTCACCTTTCTCTGTTTTGTAGTATACACGTTGGCTCGATTGTTACTTCGTAACTTGACCTGAGATACCAATTATCAAATGAATCTCAGCTCCTTTTGAAACTTGATAAGGTCCAGGAGGTAACGTAACAAGAATAATGATAACTTAGCATGTTGTTGCACGCCTGTTGTCAGGCCGTTCAAGGTCGTTGAAACGAAACCGCAGGCAGCCTCGAAAGGCTCTGACGTTTTTGCTGTATACAGTTTTCCACTTTTTTGGTCACTGACCATTTTTGTCTCTGGATACTATTGTTTCGGTTTTTTGAAGACCGCTGTTTGATGACTGGACAGTGCAAAAAATGCAATTGCCTACGTCCGAGCTGTCGATGTCTCATTGAAGAAAGCACTCAGTGCGGTGAGTGCAAGTGCTGGTATCACGAAGTTTGCACGAATTTGACGCCTGCGGCTGTGAAAAGGTTCGGTAAAAACGGTTGCGTATGGATTTGTCAGCAGCTGTTCGGACGCAAACAGCTTGCTAACCGAGGTCATTTCGATGGTAAAGGCTGCAGAAAGCGCAGTCGTGTAACATCGGACAGCACTCGCTCTGTCAGCACGTGAATTGATGTGATGCAACCTCAAGTGATCTCGGAAACAGATGACTCACATAGATCTAAAGAGAAAAGACAGTTTTCAAAGTTTGTGTTAAGTAAAAACTCACTGAAGGAGGTTTCCTTTGCCCCACATCCTCAAAATGATATTCAGCAGGAAACGCCTAGGAATTGCAATCGCAAGATTCATTCTATTTCTAGCAGGAAAAACAACCTAACTACCCAAGTCGTTGATAACCCTCCAGAATCCCACAGTATGCCTAACGCAACTTTGTTCACTACTCCAACCGAAGTTGACGAATGGTGCTGAAGGCACTCCGAGTGCAGCACGAAGCCACTTAAATAGGCTTCCGATCTGTTACACTAATGCCCGAAGCTTGCTCAATGAGCGGTAGGAACTAGGTGTACATATTGACTCCAGAAAAACAGGTTTAATTGCTCACAGAAACTTGGCTGACGCAGCCTATAGGTAGTATGGAACTTGACTTTGAGGGTTTTACGTTAGTTAGGGCCAACAGAATACAAAAGCGTAAAGAAGGGGGAGTATCTCTATTTATTAGGCATGCCATTCCATTTGCCATTATCGGCAGTGTATTCAATGAGAGTCGGACATGTGAATTAGTTAGCTGCCCTTGAAATGCAAGGGACAAGAGCTGTTGATTGGTTTGGTCTATCGCAATCCAAGCCGTTAGGCAAATGAGATCTTGCTAAGCAGTCTCAATACTTGGTCAAAAAGTGGTCGATGTTTAACCTTAAGGGACTCTAATGCTCCCATGGTAGACTAGAAAAACCTGCGAACCAGAAATGTCAGATAATTCCTTCTAGCAGGGACTAGTTGATGCGGTTATCTCATATGCTCTAGTGCAACGTCTAAAAGAAGCGACTAGGTACTGCCAGGAATGAATCATCCCTAATAGACCTTATATTGACTCATTATTAGGATAACGTTACGAACCTCCATTACATGCCACCCCTAGGTAAAAGCGATCATTCAGTTTTAACCTTCGACATTCATATAATTGTCAAACACCTGCACGCGTCAGCTCAATCCAGACCTAATGTCTGGAAAGCCAACATAGAAGATATCATACACTCAACGTCGTCAGTAGACTGGACAATAGATCCAGAGTTCTCAATCGAAACGGCTTGGGATGTATTTCGAAATTTAAACTCAAAAGTCGCTGCACCCCACATCCCTTGTACTACACCGAGGGGGCCGAGAAATTCTCCACCATGATTCAGTAGGGAGATCCGCATCCTTCTCCGTAAAAGAGGAAAAATGTGGGATAAGTTTAGGTTGCTGGGGACCGATGAGACAAAATCTTAGTATCGAAAAGCTCGGAATACCTGTGCCTCGACACTCCGTAAGTCTAGAAGGTTGTACAAAGAGAAAATTAACAAGGAATCCATAGAATGTCCTAAACGTTTATATTCGTATATAGATCAAAGGAAAAAAAGAAGATGAAAGACAGTACTACTTCATCATTAGTGGAAGGCGACTTTGGTAAAACTTATGTGTTCCCAAACTACTTCAGTAATGTATATACCATAGAAACACCCTTCCGGTCAGTCTATAAAAATCCTCCCATACAAACGCTGGACAGCGTGACCACTAAAGAACTCGATGTATTTGGTCAGCCAAGTAAGCTGGATATAGGTAAATCCACGGGGCCCGATGGACTGCATCCTAGGTTACTAAAGGAACCAGCTAGATTCGTTGCGAACCCCCTAATTGTGTGTTTTAATCTATCTGTAACCCAGGGTCGTTTACCAAAAGACTGGAAGAACTCCATAATAAGTCCTGTCTTCAAACAGGTACGAAACATAAACATGAGAACTACCGACCCGTCAGCCTAACCAGCGTGGTTGTTAAAATTTCAGAATAGATTTGTGGAAGGAGCTGTTTCCGTATCATGACGAAAACCGAATTCTTTCAGAAAAGCAACATAGCTTTAGAGCAGATTATTCATGTCTCACTAACTCATTAGTGGCTAGTGAAAGTTTGTGCGCACTTAAGGACCAAAAGTTACCTGTAAACGTAACCTACATTTACTTCAGCAAAGCTCTTGACAAAGTTCCGCACAACCGGCCGTTATATAAGTTTAGAAATGTCGGGGTTGGAGGCAGTCTATTGATGTGGATAAAAGAGTTCCTAGTTGGGCGCCAACAAAGTGTACGGGTGAACTCCAGGTTGTCTAGCTAGGAAACTGTGCTTAGTGGAGTGCCCTCAGGGTACGGTTTTGGAGCCAGTGTTATTCCTCTTGTATGTAAATGACCTTCTTAGTCTCCTGTCATAATTGGTCTTGCTATATGCCGACGATGTCAAGATATGGAAAGCGATACGAAATAAGAGTGATAGCTTAGAACTCCTAAATGACCTGGAGAAATCATCTGAATGGTCTCAAACCTGACAGTTACCAATAAATATTTTCAAGCGTATTGTGATGCATATCGGTCATCAAGGTACGGACTGAATAACACTGAGCGATCTGTTGTCCAGACAAACAATGACTTGGGGGTTATCATTAGCCAAGACTTAAAGAATACTACATACGGCCGTGTGGTAGCTGCTAAAGGTTTTAGAACTTTATGGTCAATACGTAGGGCTTTTAGTCATGTCGACGCTAAAACGTTTTTAACTTTCTATACAGTGTTAGTGCGTCCTAAACCTGAGTACTGTATACAAGCGACTAGCCCCTGCTTAGAAAAAGACAGTGAGCTTTTGGAAAAGGTTCGGAGAACGTCAAATAAGTTGATTCACTGAATAGCAAGGTTCACTTACGATGCTCAACTGGCCAGGCTAACCTATTCTTGCTGTCATATCGAAGAACTAGAGGCAGCTTGATGACAGTTTTCAAATTGCTTAGTGATAAATTTGCACCTGATACGCCCTCATTTTTCTTGTCTTCCAAAACAGAGAATTTACGAAGGCACTCCAGAAAAGTTCACAAGCCCAGAACAAATTACTTGTCAGCTGACTATCGACTTTCCCATCGAATCATCATCTGTCCGTCGACTTTTTCAACAGAAAGTTGGATCAACTGGGAGACCATCGTTGCCAGGACTAACACGGGCCATCAAGCCTCTTGTTCTTTCCAAACTGAAACTGAAACTTACCGATTCTAAACACGCAAAGTTTGTGTGAATTGCCGTTTTTACTCAAGGATTGAAGCGAAATGTCAAATAACGGGAAGTCTTAGATGCCAGTAGTACTATTTACAGTTAGCAAAGTTTTATTACAGTGAGAAGCTCTTTTTGATAGCTACCTGGTGCTGTTTGAAGTATGGAAGAGTAATTTTATCCCTTCTCATGTCACCCATACTAATCACATTCATGCCGAAAGTAATCTGCTGTAGGACATGAGATTTAAGTAGATGTTTTTGATGTTTCAATGCACATTTGGTCACAGCATAAACCACAAGGTCTAACAGTGAACCAAAAACTGTGAGAACTTTAAGTAACATTTGTTGTTCAACGTCTACGTTTCTGAACTGCCAATCAATGTTCCATGTAACTTTAGACGGTGAATATGTCAAACAGCCATTCAAGATGCTTTCCAATCATTCTTGTGGTCGTTCATGGATGAGTTGTGATCCGTGGACCAGAAGATTGTTCTCAGAATAAAAAGAATATTTGAAGCCAATGGTGCTGTAATCAACATTAACGGGTGAATAAATGGAATGTATATTTAAAGTTGTTCTACACTTAATAGCTGGCCGGAAAACGGTGAGCTGAGAAAGTATTCATAAAGTGGATACGTCACCAGAATCTGCTTTATTATTTATGGGCAGATTGAATTATATAAGACATATTCAAAAGTATCGATTGCATTTACAATACCAATAATTTATGTGACTGTGCCTATTAATATCTGTGTGCATTCAACAAATTGGTTATAGGTGGCACAATATTCCTTCACAAACACATACACAAAGCTACATAGATCTCACCGTTCACACCACGGAGAACCAGATAGCTTATGTTTGTATCAATAAACAATTCACAAGGACAATGGAGAATGTGAGAACCAAGAGAGGAGCTGACGTAAATTGAGATCACAACCTGGTTGTGGCCAAGATGAAACTGAAGCTAAAGAAACACTAGATAGCTGAAGAAACAGAATTACTAAGGTTCAATACAAACTCCCTACGAGATATTAACAAAATCAATGAATTCAAGATAGCACCTATAGACCTGTAGTGGCATTGGACCATAACCACACAATCTTCAAAGCTGAATACGAGATTACTCGGAAAATAGATATCCAATATTTAACGCGGAGAAATACCTAACAATGGAGAAGGCGCGAACAAT